TCTACGTCAACTACCTCCCGCAAACATAGCCACAAGTACTCGTCATATCTGCGGTAGAAGAACTTGGCGATGTTATTGAAATAAAGCCAAACAGGATAGAGACCATCCTGTGTTTCCCACGTGGCCAAAGTTGTATCCAAGTCTCTGCATAGGGCAAGCTCTGAGGCACTCTCATCGGGGGCTCTACCTATGTATAGGGACTGAACATAGATCTCGAAACAAAGCACCGCGCGTTGCTTGAAAAAGAGATCTTCCTGTTGATGAGAATCCGTGAACCAATCGTCTCGATTCCGGCGGGAGGATGGCAGGAATTGCCAGGGCAAAACGTAGTATTGTTCCGTGTTCTCATACTCGTGCACCCAAAGCCCTGAGAGCACGGTGTTGACCTCTTCAATAATTTTCAGTAATGTGAGGATGGAATCAAAGTCTTCAGGCCAAAGCGACTGGGTTGCGTGGCCCGATGCCGGTCAACCAGTCGCAAGCTGACTTGACGAGATGGTTGGTGCTTGGCCTCGTGGGATGTCGCTGATGCATTTGTCGGAGGCGCACCACGGTTAGCAATTCTGGGAGCAGATGGCAGTCGATGTATTTTCCGAAAACTGTCGACTTGTAATTGATGATGTGTGTAATAACTTGAGGTTTTGCCGATATCCATGAGTAGAGGTCCTTTGGGTCTTCTAAATACGATATAATCATCAGATATAGCTCTGTCGGAAAGAACCATGTCGTCGACATGGTGCGCCAGGGTTTGTCTTGCTCTACATGGGACTGGGGCCAAGTTCTGAAGGGACACGACAGGGTAAAGGGAGACAAAGTTTAGCCCTGGCTTTTTTCCGGTTCTGCCGAAGACATCAGAGTGGCGCTGGGGGTGCTTCCCAGTTAGCCAGTCTACATCTTGCGACAGATTTAATGGCATACAATCATGACCAGCTTGTAATATTGCATAGCAGCATATCAAATTAGTTTTGGTAACGGGGGCTAGATCGCTCTGCAGCAGCACCTCGCACAGTCCGAGTTATCAATCAATAAGGTAGTGACGAGATGTTCTTCATTAAGAGTTCAATTGAAAGTTATTGCTTTCAAGTAATCTTCTTGTTTTCATAATGGAGACCTTCTCTCCAGAAAATCAAGCAAGCACATAACTCCACTAACGCCATGACAGTATGACGCATTAGCTGAAGCAAATTCATGTAGATATTCAACGAGCCAATCCTCGAAAAGGTATGTTACCATGCAACAACCCACGGTTGGACCCCAATGTGCGAGCCTGGGTAGTAGTCTTTGATCCATGTCTTCAAGCTGCCTTGAAACCATTGAAGCGGGCTCGTAGTTGCCTCTATTGCAGACCTGCATTTAGAATTGGCTCGGGAGAGTGCTCCTATTATCTTTGTTTGTCTTTCACCCTCGTCAAGACGCAGCAAAGGAGCCAGTCTACAGATACCTCCCGATAAAAGCTTCCAGGCGTTGTGAATACCGTCCATACGATCCCAGTTTTGTTGCTCTTGTAAGGTTTCGAGATATGCGACCACAGTGAAGCCATCATATCCATCCTTGACGATGAATTCACCCGTATCCATGCAGGCAATTCGATAGAGTGGAACCCGGCCTTGATCCGTGGGTATCAAACCAACTTCTGACGGTCTTAAAAGTCGGCGAGCTTCAGCCCCAGTCATGGATTCAATACCCGTCCGCGTCCAAGTCACAAATTTTCGATAATAGCTCCAGCGTGCTGAATGAAAGATGACTTTCTGTGTTCCAAGGGCTTCTTTTAGAGTTTGCACTCCTTCTTGCAGAACCACGTCTGAACCCCGGAAAGGCTGGGCATCAACCTGCCGTATGTTCAAAACCTGGCGCAAAGCTGAATCAATAATACTGTCGCATGTGCGGCTGAGACAAGAAGCAAGCTTATCTATTTGCTCGCCGAAATCGACGGCACGAATGTCAATTCGCGTTGACGTGTCCTCGGTTGCCATTGATAAAATCTCGAACGGTGTTTGATCGGACGTATGATCAGGGAATTCCCTGCCGTAACAGAAACACAGTACGTAGATCTCGAAGAGGAGAACAAGCTTCTTCTGAACGAACATGCTGTGCTCGTCTTTCTTGTCCCAGAAACTATCGTGCTGGAGTAATCTCGTCGTCCGCTCGTCATACAACATGAAATTCAGACCCTCGGGTCGCTTGGAGTGCTCGGGGTGCTCGTGGAGCCACGGAGTCTCGGGCCAGAACGAGTCATCTCTGTAGCGATAGTTCTGCATTGCCGTGACAATGCATTCTACCTCGTCCATGAGTTCTAGGAGGGCTAACGCTGAAGCTTTGTCCGTGGGCCACACCAATCCAGGGGTGCTTTCCTCGGCGGCGACTTTCGACTTGAAGGCGGATATGACGAGATCTTGAACGCTCGGTAGCTCGGTGGACTGCTGGTGGATTTCGCGGAGGCGTAAAATACTCAGAGCCGGGGGAAGGAGATCGCGATCCATGAAAGACTCGAAAGCCACTGACTTATTTTCCAGGAGTTTCTGTAAAACATCGGGATCTACTGAGATCCAAGAAAGGAAGTCTTTTGCGGACGTCAAATAGGCTGCCACCATATTCGTCAGCTCTACTGGAAGACGAATCAGAGTCGCCATCTTGCGCTTGAAGAGGAGTTGTTGTAATGTGTGTTTTGGCTTCTGTTGATCTGCGGTGTCAGCTCAAATGATTGACAGGTGATTAGGTTCGCTTATTAGGGGTGCCGAAGTCAGTACTGAAGCACGGAAGAAAGACAAAGACGCCTAAGATTGGGAGGAAAACTAGATTGCGAAATTGTGGAATAACCGGCCCTAAAAGATATGACTGGTGTGATCAGTCATCTACCTTATGTATTGGACACCTCTATGACCCTCGGGATGGTTGACACGTGGCTGCAGCTATAGGGACAAGTCTGTTCAATCTACACCATTGCAGCCCTTGACGCAGATGCCTAGAGGCAACTCTATTTGCCTCCGTTCTGGCTCACAAAGCCCTGCTTCGTCAAAGCTTCCAGATACCCACTCGTCCGCTTCACACCTTCATGGCCACTTGCCTTCGCCGCCTCAAACGCAACACGGTACACGTGCAACCCCTCGGAAAACAACGGCCGGTGGTGTTTCCAGCCAGTGAGGTTCGTGAGCTTTGTAGAGTCTGTCCACTGCGGAAAGTTGATAATTCCATTTGGCCAGGGGTTTTCGTCATCCTTCAGCTCAGAAGGGTCGACATACTTCAGCCCCGCTGTGATGTTGTACTCCTTGACCAGGGCTTTCGCCACCTCGTCCACAGTCTCGTACCTTTGGGCAGAGATGTTGAAGACCTGGCCCTCAACTTCGGATGTGTTGACGTGGGAAGCAATGGCGACGTATGCCTCTCCACAATCGTCGACATGCAAGGCATGAACAATGGTGTTTGGTGGGGCGGGCAGCAAGAGGGGCTTTCCGTCGGCGGCTGCCTTGGCCGCAACATCGAAGAAGGCCTTGTAGAAGCTTGAGCTTCGACCGTAGACGTTCGTAGGTCTGACCAATACCGGAGCGAAGACATCGCTGTGATCAAAGATCTTCCTTGCATGCGTCGCACGGTTAATGAGGAAAGGTACCGTGTTGATCGGAGAGTCCTCCGTGTGCGGGGCGAGGTCCGGGGCGCCGTGGTAGTGGGGCCCGATGCCGTAGTCCTTGCAGCCGGAGCTGAAGATCACAATGGGTCTAGTTCCTGCGGCAGAGCTTGCGGCGCCAACAGTTCGCAGAAGCTTGATCGTGTTGTTGTAATGCGGCATGTAGTCTAAAGGGTTCTCGGTTGCCGATACGATCGCATCGACGGTGGCCGGAAGGTGAGCCTGGATCTCCGCGTGTGCGGATAGGTCGTCGATCGCGCCGACGATTGGGATGATCTCCTCTTGGGCGAGAGCTGTTGCGGCCGACAGAGATCGGACGAGTCCGTAGGTTTTCCATCCAGCGGCAACGAAGGCGCGCGCTACAGCGTTGCCGATGTAGCCGTTCGCGCCAGTGACAAAGACAGTTTTAGGTGCCATTTTGACTTGATTGCAGGGTTTTGATGGTCTTCTCTTCGTCATTTTGAGTTCCGGTTCGTGATTTATAGTCACGGCTGTTACTTCTTTAAGACGGTCGACGAGATCTCGTGATAACGTTGACAGCTCCGTTTCCTGAAATCATCAGCGGGGCAAGGAAAGAATCTGAGATAATGCGGAGGAACAATGTGGCCGAGACGGCTGGTTTATGGTAATACTGTGGCGATGGCTGTGACGGGGATGGTGATCCATTGTTGGCATCTAATCATTACATCGCACAAGTTTACACCAGTCAGAACGCAATGCGACCTGACGTGTTGCGCCTCCAGCATGGGCCACTATGCAGCGGATGGGTTCATGCAGACCAGAAGTCAATCGTTTCAGAAGATCTGCGATTGTGTACAACTGATTCAACAAGGGCATGTTTTCCCTGTGTCGACCTGCAGCACCTTGGATCGCCCTTGGGGCGGAATTCATATTCCGCAAGGGTCCCCGTTCCGCTCCAATTCGGCCGACCGATTGCTAAGCTCGGCGCAATGCACGTAAGATGCGCCTTATCAGCCCCGGCATCCCACTTGCACCATGGGCGACTATTTGTGGGCAATTCGATTGCTGCGCACTGTAGTGAATGCCCATCATTTTGATTGAACTGAAAAGTACGGTGCGGTAGAGTCGCCTCCGAGTTGTCTCCGGCACCGGAACCCGGCATTACGGGGCAGATATCCGGGTCCGGCCGGACTCGAAACTCTGTGCTAGAAAGTCAGTACTCGATTGACATACAACATTCAATACTCAAAGTTTCACCAATCTTTACCTGAAGCCCGCAAAACGATCTTATTTTTGATTCATATGGATATTAGGTGTTCTCTCTGCCTAAACCTTCATTTCTTAGTTTCTAGTGGCCATGTTGCTAGTCACATAGACACCGAACTTTGCCATCCTGCGATATCTTATAGGCCGCGCCTTATTCGCAGTCATCACTGGCAACAGAATCGAAAATGTTTGGCGGAGTGTTGATACCGCAACGACCGTTGGCATCGCACGTTCCCTGACGATCTCTCTGGTCAACTCTGCCGGTACAGGGTTGACCCTCCTTGCTGGCACCGGTCGCCGCACCGGCAGCAGCCCCAGCTGCGCCTCCGGCCGCAGCTCCGGCAGCAGCACCGCCAGCGACCTGGGATGCTTTACCACCTCTGGCTGGAGCTACAAATGCAATATTAGTAGATGTACAAAATGAGTGTGCCTTATAAACATGTTACCCACAGGCAAAAGTCTGGCCAACCAGAACAGTTAGGAAAAAGACGGTGAAGGTGGAAATTTGCATTTTGACGGAGCAGCAAATAGTGTTATGCCAGATAACGACAAATTAAACAGAAAGTCTTAGAATTCGAAGGGAAGAAGAGAGATGTGATTATAGTATAGTTGTTCAAGAATGCTCCTGTGATTGCGGGAGAAGGTGTCATCTTAAATACCGAGTGTCACTCAACAAGCTTAAATGTTCACAGGCGTTGTTTTGACGAGGCAGTCCAATTGACATATTGACAGCGTACCGAACCATTGGCCCCAGGGAGGGACGTTCTGCCTCAGAACTTTGCGGGGAGAGCTTCAAAAAGCCAGGGGCGGCCATGAGCTGATGCCAATCCGAACGCCTCGCTGGGTTGAGTTTACATCGCTCCTTAGGGCTGTAGGGAAACATCAGCTCCATTATTCGTTCTTTTTGCTGTCAAGTAAAACCTTTGCTACCTCGCTTAAGGATCTGAGGCGTTTTATGGGTTGCGTTTCTATAGAAGTGCATAAGCGGTCCCCCCGAACTGTCTTTGCCTCCCGAGTCCGAATGATTCGCATATAGAGCGAACGACATGACTCTTTCCACTCCAAAACTTCGGAATGCCATGAACAGAGTGGTCCATATGAGCCAGAATCGCGGTTCTGGCTTCAAAGAATGGATAATCATAGCCTTGATATTGGCGTAGCGGGTGGCTTGTCATCAACGTTTGCGTCACAGCCCGTCGTTCGTTCCATGTGAGTCTTTAGTGCTCAAATTCATTCCAACTAGACCTCTTACGGCAGGCAATCTGTAGCTCTCGTTGTAATAATTACGCATCGGAAGTATCGTACCATAATGCTTTTCTTTAGATTGTCTGCCCGTTGACCGGCATCGACGGTGCCTTGTTAGATCAACGGATGTAATGAACACTCCAAATTATGGAATTCCTAGTCCCGTTTCATTTGTGACTTTTGCAATTATGAATTGCCCCCATGCTAACGACGAAGTATAATTGGCACCGTCCCGTTGATAGTATGCAAACACAGGTGCACACCAGTAGCCGCCCTCTGGACGATCAATCTCCACTACTGCATGTATCAATTTGCTGAAAGCCGGAACAGTACATGATACGATGCCGCCTGCAACGACATATGCCATGTCAAAGTGAACTTCAAGTCTCCAAATGCGCTGTCGACAACCCCCACCCCCCCACCCCCTTGAAAAGCCGTCTCACTTGTATTCATCATGGCGCGTATCCTCAAGGTCTTTTCGAATCGAGATATGTTGAAATAATTCAACGTATTGACAGATGGTCCGGACTTTCTATGGATCAATTACCATGACCTTAGGCTGACCTTCCCGCCAAGGTACCCATCCATGGATGCTAACGTAGCAAGGGCATTTGCTAGCCTGTCAGTTAAGGCGGGAAAAAATCACACCATCCGTTTGGAATACAAGACAATGCCGAAGGATCTTGTGGCATTCTACCATCAAAAGTGCCAAGGGGGCTTCTGCCTTGGTATGGTGGGTAACATGCAGGGTCCATAAGGCTGCCTGGGATTGGGGGCTATCTAGATGACTGCGCATGGACGGAATTGGACATTTGCCCGAGCTACGCCTGGAGGCCAAAAGGAACCTCGGTATTCCTTCGAGGCAATGCAAATGGTGAACGCTAGTCAAATGACCAGTACGTTGCCTCTCTCGCTACCACCACGTGTCTGACGTAAGAATAAAGAAGAGTCAAATCCACAAGTGCCGGCTCAGGTAAAATCAACGTCGAAGAGAGATGTCACCCTTAGCAATGCGTGTCTTTCCATGAAGACAGCCTAAGTGCTTCCTCCAAGCATTTTCTTCCGCGATCCGGATCAAGGAAAAGGATATCACTATTCATTTGCCCGCTTTCGAATATGCCAGGGCGAACAACATTGCAGGATTGCGTATCCACAGCTGCTTACGTTGGGGGCTAGCTGGTGGCTCAGTTCCCGACTCTTGGAATAAGATTTGCCCGATCATGTTGGTGTTTTCAGCTCGCAACTCATGTCTGGATTCAGTTCTGACTAGCAAAACTGGTTTGAACTAAGGTTCCAAGGCAGACGAGTATCTCCACAAATCCAGCAAAAAGCCCCATCAAGTCATTGAAAGTTACCTAGACCTCCCTGAAGTATTCGACATAAGTGATGACTGACGAACACGAACGGCACGGCAAGGCCCCAGCTTTTGGGAGATGGCTGTGTTTGCCAGCTACAGAAGACAGAGGGTCAGACGATCCTATTAAAAGGGTCGCGCGAGACGCTGTGGCAGTTGCTTTTCTTTACCCAAGCCAAGCATATCTGTACATTCAGTAAACATGAGATCATTTACATCGGGAACCTTCGCCTGCTTAGCAGTGGCTGCATCAGCGCTGCATATCCCCCGCCAAGACAACACCCTCTTAGTCGATGTTGCTCCCGACTATCCTCGGCCATATGTTCTACCCAGATTCAAAGGTCGGGCTGTCAAACTGACTGGCTCAGACATCATTCGGTTAGCCATAACTGCAAACTCATCTGGAGGTGCATTCTCCATGGTGCAGCACAATGGCAAGACCTCAGGCTGGACAGCCGCCAGACCGCACACTCACGAGAAAACTCACGAGCACTTTTATTGCACCCGAGGCCGCGTGGAGCTCTGGGCACAAAAGAATATCACCGGTGCTGATCATGAGGCCCGAGTTGCGTCTGTGGGCGACTATGGAAATGCGCCTCCAGGCACTATACACACTTTTCAACTTATCGATCCGGACAGCCAATTGAATCACATCTTTCATCCTGCTGGATTCGAGGATCTCTTTGCGAAGCTCAGTCTCGGCGAGTACGAATCCGAAGTTGGATCGCCATACGTTCCGATTGAGAAGGACCCTGACCCGTTCGGGGTTCTCACGCCTGAGGTGTACGAACAACTTCGATCCATGGACTTGATTGCCGCCTCAGCAGAGGTATTCACGCCCAGAAGAGATTTGATCAACGGCACTGCGGGCGACGCCGGATTGCCGTGGCATGACGGACCAAACAGCTTACCAAGTGACCCAACTGAGCCATACTTTGTTGCCAACAACTACGGTTCAGCATACCTCAACTCTGAGAACGGATACAAAGTCATACAGCCTTTGGTCACACCCCCGCAGACGGATGGAAACTTCACCATGGGCACCATAGTACTCTCCCCGAAACTCGATAATCAAGCCCCGACGACGGTCACACTGCCCCATCATTTTGCCTTGGAGCTACAAGAGGGTCAACTGTCTCTATCCGTGGATAGGTTCGAAAGTCTGAGCTTGCTGCAAGGAGATGTCGCCTTTGTGCCTGCTCACACGACTTTCTCTTTTTATGCCACGGTGCCCTTGACCAAACTTCTTTACATGAATGGCGGGGACCAAGGATTGGATCATCAGCTACTGCAGAAGAGTATTTTTTGGGGTTTTCCAGTGTATCCCTCTTAACGTCTGCTCTTGAAGTTTGGAACTTGGATTTCTTACATGAGTATTTATAAAGAGATACACATAGAATTTGTTATCTCGGAGGCATATGTAGAATTTGTACTTATGTATCTTTCTGGTTTATTGGACTCTATTATTAACAGCTGTTTTCATGGGCTTAGTGTGTTCCATTCACACCGTTGGCTTTGCCAGCCAAGAATTCCTTCTTGAAGACGGCCTCCATCTCTTTCCTGAAGGCCACAGCCTGTGCCTTTTCGCTGTACTCGACGTCCTGCCAGCTCAGTCCCTGGTCCTTCTTCACATCACGCTTGAGAACAAAGCCATGTGCCAGGCCAATAGGCAGGCCCTCAATGGCCATAGAGTTCTCGGCAGTGGTAAGCTTTCCGTACACAGTGAAGCCGCCTTCACCATCCAATTTCTCGCCTGCCTTGAGATCACGCTTCGCTGTGGCAACAACATCTCCCGCCCATGTCTTAGTCTGGCCGGTTGGTTCGCCGCGAACCATTATTGTCGCGACTGAGACGCCAAGTTCCAGACCAATGAGATGGTAGGGCTTGTACTGGGCGGCATACCAGCCAGAAGGGTCTGTCTTCAAGCCATATTGCTTGAAACATTCCCTCTGGTATTCTCCAGGTGCTATCAGTCAAACAACATTATTAGTACCCAATCTTGAGGAACATCATTTGAGCAAGGAACACTCACCTTTGATCATCACATAAACACCCCATCTCAAATCATTGAATACCCATCGACCGTCCTTTTCCATGCAAGACACAACTTCTACGGTGCCATTCTTCTCGAGTTGGCCTCCTTCGCTGGTGGGCTTTAACACCGTAGGGAGGTCCCACACGCCACAGGGAGGGAACCTCAGCCCACCTGAAGGAGGGCTTAGGTCACATCCGTTGGCGACGGCAGCCATCTCCAAAGCACTCTTAGTCCCATCAAGGAAACTGTTGAACATTTGCGGGTTGAAGTCGCCCCCGGCAAGCTGCTCCTTGGTGAATCCGTAATAGTTCCACACAGTATCCGGCGTGGAGTAGTGGTACTCGGGCAAATGCTTGGTTCCCTTGCCTGCGCACACGACTTCGAAGCCAGCCGTCTTGGCCCAGTCCACCATCTCAGCAATGAGTGCCGGCTGGTCTCCGTATGCCATTGAGTAGATGATGCCAGCCTCCCTCGCCTTCCGTGCCAGCAAAGGTCCAGCCAGAACATCGGCTTCAACATTGATCATGACGATGTGCTTCTTGTGCTCACAGCAGAGGAGAGCGTGACGAATGCCTGCTGCAGGGTTTCCGGTGACTTCTAGCACGACGTCAATTTCCGGGGTGGCAATCAGTGTTGCTGAGTCTGTCGTAATGGCTGTTTTTCCTGCAGCAATGGCTTCGGAAATGCTCAACGAGGCAGTCGCGTCGAACTTGCCCTCGGGATAACCAGTGCGCTTCAGAGAAGCAAGAGCTCGGTCAGAAGAAAGATCCGCAATGGCAGCCAAGTGAACTCCAGGCGTGCGGTGGGACTGAGAGATGTACATGGACCCGAACTTGCCAGCGCCAATGATGCCGACCTGAACTGGCTTTCCGGCCTT